GGTGTCGAAGGTAGACATGTACTGGGCCCCTGACAGAGCCTGCAAGATGTCCGTCTGCCTTGGAATAGGGAATTCGTTGGGTATAGTAACTTCGTTGAGCTTGCACCAGTCTACGCACAGCCGGTTCTTCCCTTTTTGGCTGACGATTATGATGGGAGCACCCCAGGGACTTCGTGATGGCTCTATCACTCCTGGTTCCAACCAAGAATCTAGTTGCTTATCAATGATCTCCCTCTTTAGTGGTGATGCATGGTAGGGAGGGAGAGAGATGGGCTTGACATCAGGCTTCAACGATATGTGGACCTTGGCGTCGTAATGTCCCAAGTTACCGGTTGTGGCAAAAGCCTTGGCATGACGCTGCATGATCCTTTTTAGCTGCTCCTTTTCGTTGAGGGATAGCTCTGGGTTAATGTCCACAGCTTGGGTCAATGCTTCTGGCCATGTCTCTTCCTCTGGTGGCGTCTCCACAGTCTTGGGCCCGACTAGAGACTCGGAGGCATCCACCTCAACTTCTAGTTGTTTTTGGGTCGACAAGCCAGCAGTCATGGCTTGATACAACACGCCTTTCCTAGTGAACTCGCGCAGCTGGTTCTCAGTCAATTGGTCTGCACGGTCTAGGACCTCTCATGGTCGCTGCATAGTGGCGACGATTTCACCCTTGGGAACTCTGATTGGGTATGGGTTTGGGTTGGTCAAAGGCAATCGGACGGGGTCCCGAGTGTCTACCAGCATGACGGGTGGTGGCAAATAACCTCCTGGGCTCCACTGACTGCTCCAACCTTCAACCAAATGCGTTCCCAAGTTGCTGTCATCACTGCCAGCAACTTCGACCTGTCTCACTGTGTACGGTTCTAGGGTCACGTCTTCAACTAGCTTCAGGCACCCAGTTCCTGACTTCGCTGTCTTCTTGACCTCGGCCAGTGCATCTGGTAATAGCATCACTTGATAAATTGATTGATGGTGCAACTGGCTCCTGAGGGGAACCTGGTGCTCCGAATCTTCAACCTGCCAATATTCGCGTTCAGGCGGGCACATCGTGTGCAGCTGGTAGGTTGTCTGTACACCCTCAGCTATAAGCAATGGAACCGTCATGCCCTTGAGGACATAGACTTCCACATCCCGCAACAGGACGTGCCCCAGCTGCAATGGTAGATAAAGATATATGACCATGTAACCCTGACATTTGGCCTTTCCGGTCAGTTGGACCAGATTCAGCTTCATCCCTTGCCGAAGTCTGGATCCTTCGCTTTTAATGCGATCAAATAATTCAGTGGACATCAGTGTGCAGGCGGCTCCAGAATCAGCCAATGCCTCGACCTCATGGCCGTTGATGGCATTCACATGACATCGCACTCTACACGCATCAGATCCCAGGGACTGCTGACCCAGGGGATGACCGAACAACTTGCATGCCTCATATATTTCGCCCACGGTCCTGGTCGCACTGATGAGTTTCTCCTCATGGGGAATTTCACCCCAAGCGCATGCAACAAGGTAGGCATCAGGCATCTCTTTGGGACTCTCTACATCTAGTACATCCGCAGGATCTGAGTCGGACAGGGTACAAAACTCGGTGTAAGCAACTGCAAATTCCGCTTCCTGCCCTTCCACCAAGGTGGTATACGCCTGTCGATAGGAATGCTCCAACTTGGGAGGACCACCTCGATCCTTGCAATCACTCTTGGTCCGGTCTGCCTTACGAGGTGGACAGTCGTTGTCCCAGTGCAGGGCACTCCCGCAATGTCTACAGGGTCGAGGTGGCTTCTTACGTGATTTGAAGTCACTCATGGGGTAGGTGTGGCTCTCCGACGCTGCAGCTGCCCTTCGAGCTTCTACTCGATCTGTTCCACGTTTGTTCCTTTCAAAGTTCCACCTGGTGTCATATCCGTGCATACCTTGACTTCCGGACCTCCTCCTTCCCCACCTCCGGAATCCTACCCTACCACTGTCCGTTCTGATATTCACCTCCGGTCCTGGCACCATACCACCCTTCACCTCCCATGCCACCCCAATTCCTCCATCACTCTCCTTTCCTATCTCCATCCACTCCGATAACCACCTCGGACCGAACACCACCCCTCTCGCCACCCTCCTCCTCCTACTCCTCCGCTCTACTCCCATCCGCTCTGATACCCACCTTCGGACTTGATGCCTCTCCTCTCTTCCTTCCCCTCTCTTCCCTCTGGTCCTCTTCCACCGACCTCCCGCCAAGTTACAACCTCCCACCACTGACTCGTACTTCGTACTCGGGCACCGCTCGTACCTTGCTCTGAGCCTCCGTCATAGTCCCTACCTCGGACTTTGACTCCACCTCGGTCTTAGTCCATTGCATTGGTGACCTCATACTACATAACCATTGCCAATATTCCTCGGACTTTCAACCCCGCCTCCATAAGCTCCGCAACCTCCGAGCTTCGTGGATCATCTTCAGCACTTTCACCGCTTGTAATGTATTTCTCGCATTTCTCCCTCATCCCTATTTGGACTGCTGCTTCTCCCCATTTTAGCCAGTAGTCATCATCCCCACTTCCCCTCATCCTCCTGCCCCTCTGGGCCTTGCCCTCCTTACCTCCTTTCGGACATATCATAGGTTCTGCCTTATGACCTTTGGTACTGCTCCGCTTTTGCCATCCCTTTGTTCCCATTCGGATGCCTTCGTTCCGATTTGGTTCCCCTTTGCTTCCTTGTGCTTTTGCCCCCTCCATTATATATATCAGCACTTGTACATACTCGTAGCGGGCTCAGTCCAAAATCGACCTGAAATGCCCCCTAGAGACTTCCTGCTCACCTACTGTGAAATTAAGGACCAAATGGACAAACAGCAATGGCACAGCGCTCCGCTTGAGTCGCTGAGGCCAAGGTCCCTCCACGCTAAGTCTCCGATTCCACTTCGGAGTCGTCTGAATCTGCCTGTTCTAACACCTGGCGACCTTATTGGCAATGGCGTCGATGCTGAACTCTTTGGTGGCCACCAGCTCGTTGTGTTTGAGCACGACCATTCGTTGGAGTGCCTCCACTGTCTCGAGATGGTCAATGTTGATGTGGGCCCACCATCCTCTGGGAACGTCCTCCAATAGCCTTTGGACTTCACCCTTCAGGACATCCTGACTTGGTACATCGGCCAGAGGGTAGAGAGTGCGCAATAATCGCAACTTGCACGTCACAAAATCGAGTGGTGTCTCTCTCGTGTGACCCTCACCTTTACGGTATCGACACGAGTGGTAACGCTCTCGTATTTTGTTGATAAACACAGGCGTCAAGCAGTAGTGTTATATAGCTGTGTAAAGCCTCCCAATTTCGAGTGAAATACAGCTTGTTGGCTGTTGGGACAGTAGTCCACCAGTCCGCAAGTTTACCCTTAAACCTCTCGGGCAGGACTCCTGCCATTTGTTGGGTGAAGGCCACCGAGTGTCTTGCTAAATTTCGACAGATACTGCACCAGGTTATATAGCTGTCGATCGAGCCATTGAACTCAGGGAAATCTGATGTAGTGTACTTACGATCGACGTAAGGTTGTGTCCAGTCGAATGGGAGGTATGGCCTGATTCCTGGCATTTGGAGAGGAATTATGGCACCTGGCCCTGGAGGTGGTGGAGGTGGAGGTGCCCCTGCCTGACCTCCTGGCACAGGTGGTGGCGGTGGCGGTGGCGCACCTGCCTGACCTCTTAGCATAGGTGGTGGCAGTGGCGGCGGCGCACCTGCTTGACCCCTGGCAGGAGCGGTGGTGGAGGGGGTGCACCTGCTTGACCTCCTGATGGAGGCGGCGGATAGTTGTGTGGAGGTGGCCCACCCTGGGCTAGAGGTGGGTCTGGAGGAGCAGGTGGCTGTGGTGGTTCGTCGCCTCGGCGATATTGTGGCCACGGTTGGGGTCCAGGTCTAACTGGCTCCATACCGAGGTTTATAGGAGTGAGAGGATCTTGAAACAATGAGCAGGCGGGACCTGTATGTCAGGGCAGACCTGCATGACCCAGCTCCACCCGCCCTCACCCAGTACCCTGCCCACCTCCACCCCTCACCCTTCAGCATTGTTTCTCACTTCATGTCTTTCCTTTTGTCTTTCTGTTCTTTTGCTCTCTTGCCCTTTCTTCTATCTTTATCCACACAGACGACATTTCCCCTTATCTATGTATTATCGACCTGCCCACGACACGTGCATGGCGCACCCAGCCCCGGACGACCCAGATGGCCTCACGGTGCAACCCAGCACGCGCACGTGCAGCACTCACCCTCGGGATCCCCCATGGGGACACCTGGATGACTGCGGCTGTATGCGGGGTGACGTGGCAAACCTCATGTGACCCAAGCCGCATGTACATAAAAGTACCTGGGGTGGGAACCGAAGAAGTAACCTTCTTCTCACGATTCCCACTTCAATCTGAGTGGCCAGGGATCGTCATCCCGGATCGGGCCCATCACTACGCACGCCCACTCTACACCTTGTGATGGCCTCAGCGCCAGGCATTACACCCGGGCCCCCTCGACCCCGGACGCGTCCCTGACACCGTATTGGGCCCAGGTCTGTTCCTATTGTTCTGATACCTCTCGTCGGCGGGGCCCACCTCTGTCTTTCTGCCCTTGAGGCCCTGAACAAATTCTGCATAGTCCAGATCCTTCTTGGGATCATGGAGTGTATAGGATTCACGAGGATGGTCCATCATTGGTACGGTTCCTTCATCCCTTCGTAACATAGCTGCAGCGATGTTAATGCTGGGCCTGGGAACAGGGAGCTCTATTGGCAGCTGCTGGCGTTGATGTATGAAGGTGACTTTGTCGACTGCTGGTTCACGCTGACTGTTTAGTTCCCAACCCAACGTCTCGCAGGTCGCCTCGTGGGTAGGCCTAATCTCTGTGGACCATGCCCTTTCGACTGATTCCGGGTCAGTGAAAGTGGTATGTGGCACACTGGCTGGCCTGAAACCACCGAGTCGCGATTCATCAAACTCTTGTGAAGGGTCGACAGCTCTTTTTATGGAATCGAAGTGCTTCTCGAAGGCGTTGAGTCATTGGTCAAGGAAGTGCCATACGATATCGAATTCCTTCTGTGACGCCCAGCCTTTCTCAGCCAGCATGAGTGAGAAATCGCCATGCGGGTCTATAACGAATTCGCCTGTGGCAAATTTGGTGGCAGCAGCCAGACATGTGAACACTGAAATCTTCGAGAACATATCAGTCAATCCTAGTTGATCTAGGGGTGCGAGCCGGTATCGCAGTGTTGGCTTGGCACCATCATTGGGGACGAGTTCTCTTTCGAGCTGGGCTGGCATGATTCTTCGCCAATTACAGATTTTGGTCATAGGGGCATCGGGATCGTTGAAAACTCCACCCTCAAACTCTCTGATGGCCTCTATGATGAGTGTGAGATCTCGTTGCCTCCGAACGGCTTCAGGCGAGGTTTGCACATCACCCCATGGGGAAGACGTTGCTGCGGAGTCAGGTACCTGGTAGGAGAGGGTGTCTTGTGTGGATGACACCAAAGCATCATGGTTGTGCGTCGATTGAGCTGGCATCCTTAGTGGCATGGTGCGATCTAGTCGCACCAGGGTTGGGGCACCACTGTTAAGAAATGGGTTATGGGTGATCCATTTCTTTCCATCCTTATAGACGACTTGGAATCGTTGACCTCATGTATGTAGGGTGGCCTAGTCATGTAATGAGTATTGTCCGATAGCCTTGGAGCTTTTGATGGAAAGCTGAGACCTCGCAGTGAATGGGAGTCTGCTACGACGGATACTTGGCACTCATTACGTGAGCGTACCATGCGTGGGTGTATAGGGTCACAGGCAAAGGGGATATCCAGAACTGGACCAGTCAAGGACAAAGGGCTAGCAGGTACTTGACGCTCGAGGGAGCGTACTGGTAGTGAGTGATATAACAACTCCTTGAGGGAGCTTCCTGAGATTTGGTTGATGGGTACTTGGCACCCAGATGGGCGTACTGGCAATGAGTGAGATTCCAGCTCCTTGAGGGAGCTACTTGAGGCTGGGTTGACAGATACTTGACGCCCAGATGGGTGTACCGGCAATGAGGTATGAGACCGTTCGTTTGGCAAACGGTCTGTATTCGTGTCAACGGGTACTTGGCGCTCGTAAGAGCATACCTGTGATGGAGCGGTTAGTCGATCGTAGGTTGAACGACATGTGGTGGGATCAACGGCTACTTGGCACTCACGAGAGCGTACCGGCAACAAGGGGAACGGGCTTGTATCGAATACCAATCCGTCCATAGAGTTAACCAGATGCTCACCATAAGGTGAGACAGATGTGAGCCCAGTACCTGGGCTAGTGACATGAGTCGTAACAAAAGGTGTTTGTGCATACCTGAGTTGAGTCGCACACGAACTCGATGATCCGTGGCTAGAGTCATCAACCTCGGTAGGGATGACCCATATAGTGGTGACTGAGACATATACAATCTTACACAGACGTTACAGTGTTGGCACAAGGAGGTTTACAGTTGTTGCACAGAAGATGAGGGTGTGTTATTCGTTAAGTTCCGTCTTTCTCGGCTGTAGCCATACCTGAACGTGACGCTAACTATTGAATAAGAAATGATCACAGGAAATCTCGCAAAATAGAATAAATAATCCAGCCAGCACCAAAACCCAATAAGGGAAAGCTTAGCGTGGAGTGAGTGCGTAAGAAGGGGGGGGAAGCGGGGAGAATGTAAGAAAGAGATGGGAGGATGTGGAGAAGGGGGACCCACTGTGGTTGACGTTCAGTCGACACGGTCATGAGAGACTCCATTCCTGTAACACCGATGTTTCCCTTTCTTATTGTTCTTTCCTTATTTGTCATTTTCGGATTCTTCCGTGATACCGTGACCAGCTGTATAGTTAGCTAGACAGTGAGTAGTGGAATCCACTCCCAGTCAATGAACCTGTGCATGCAACCACTCCAACCCTCCCCCTCTCTTCTGTCTCGAGTCTAGTGGTGATAGACCCATTACAATGTTGCCTATCTTACCTTTGTCAGAACCATATGAAGTCTTGCTGATGATAGCCATTGGTGACCATATGTTGGCCGCTGTCAGGGACAGTGCAGGAGAGGTGGGGGTAGTGGCCTGGGTGGCAGTGGAGTAGCAGGAATGTATAGTGGGCAGCCCTCACTCAGGCTTGTGTCCCTGTTCTGGCTTCTTAGACTGAAGCAGGAATGTTGTCATTAGAATGGAAAGCTAAACTAAACTAATCTAGGGTACTTGCCTGAAGCAGGAATGAGAAGATGGTCACTTCTTCGGTTCTGCTTCAGCTCAGTTTATATGCAAGTGGGAACAGGTCACGTGAAGGTGCCACATCAGCCTTGGGCAGAGCCATGCTATCACAGGTGGCTCCACAGGTGATCCCGAGTGTTAAGGAAGAGAGGTACAAGTAGGGATGTGCAGTGCATCCAGCAGCATGGCACTGTATACAGTTTTTGGCTCTTTCCTGACTTTCCATAATTGGCACCCCTGTGGGAAGATTCTGGGTGAGCAGCTTGCCCAGAAAGTTCCCATGGTTATGGCTGTGATGGTTTCTGGGTGAGTAACTTGCCCAGAACTTTCCCACAGGTCTGCATGCATGTGGGATTGTGGAATAGTGAGGGGAAAAATAGGGGAAAATGGGGGAAGAGTACCTGAGGGTGTGTGGGGTCAGGGGCTGTGCCCTGACACTAAATAAATCTCTTGTCATTTCCCCCCTTATGCATGCTTCACAATCAAGAACCACAGAACCCTCCAGCACTCCCTCCAATCTGACTATGGAGCCCTCCTTCATCATTTTCAGCAGAACTTCCTTTCCTGGGTGCATGAGTCACTTGTGTACAAGGTCAAAAGAGGGCATGGTTGCTACTGCTGCAGAGTCATCTGGTTTTTGAGGGGTATGGTAGGCACCCTGACTAGCCTGCACCCGGACCCGCATGCATGCTCCATGCTCCGGGCCCGGTTCCCACTTCTCATGTGACTTCCGGGTATCCCCGGAAGTTTTCGCCATATTGGGCCACTGTGGGAAAGTGAGAAGTTAACCTTCTTCTCACTTTCTTACCCACAGTAGTTGTGCCTTGAGACTAGGCTGTTTACAGTTAGGTTGTGGGTTGTAGAGAGAGGGGTCATGGGGACCCGGGGTCCATCCCCTGACACACTCCAAGTTGGGGACAAAGCTGAGTTGGGGGGAAGATATGGGGTGGTCAGACTGAGTATGTATGTGGATGAGATCAAAGCCGGTTGAGATGACCCTCGCAAGACATTCAATGGCTGTGTGCCAGCAACAGTGGCTAATATGGAGGGGTTAATGAAAGTGTCAGAGACCAGATGCGGGACAAGGGAGATGTCCCCGTGGCAGAGGGCTTCAGCCTCAGCGACTTAGACCAGGAGTGCTGTGCCTAGTTACATGTCCATGCCCTAACTTAATAACTGGCAACGAGAACTAAAAGAGGGAAACTCTAGTCGATTTTATCACTAGGGTGTAACCTATCTACAAGTTATGTATATATAGTTACATAGAGGGCAGGCCCATGAATGGTGGGGCCAAGCAGAGCAGAGCTAACGGAGTTACATGTTAGCCAACTGAATATTACTGATGAGTCGGGTTACGGGGTTAGCAGAGTGGCAGGCTATAACCCAGAAATGGAAAGGAGGGATCGGCCTGAAGGTAGGCTTGCAGGGAAAGCAACTAAATTGCCCAGCAGAGGTGGAAGTGTGCTAGCGGATGTCAGAGCTGTCTGGAGGCCTTCGGGGCTCCATACTTAGGGAGGCATAGGTAATATATTGAATTGAGGGGGTGATGACCATCGGGGGAGTCAGAGGTAGTTGCGGAATCCGGAGGCTCTGAGGTTAGTGACGAAGGAGCGGAGGTGATCCAGAAGGACTGGAGGTAGTGGAGGGTGATGGCTGCGGATGGATATGACAGAAAGGGTGGATCAACATGCAAGTGCCTAAATATCACTTACTGTGTCTTTGGCATCCCTTCTTTCCTAGGCCTATAGTCCACTTCTTTTTTTTGCACTCCTTTTCAGAATCGATGCTGGTGTGGGGTTTTGTTTCCCTATTGTCCTCTTGGAGTTCCTTTGTGCCATTCATGTGGTCACCTAAAGCCTACTTGATGGAGTCGAGAGTGACACAAGACTTTTTCTTCTTGACTGGCTTTGGCATTTCATCATTAGATGAGGTTGAGTACATAAACATCCTTAGCTTAGACAAGCCAAAACAAGATGTTGCTTGAGAGGGCGGTTGTGGAGGTGCACCATTCTCACACATGGGGATGATGCATCAAGGAGGAAGTAGAAGTGGAGGTGGAGGACAAGCATCCTCTTGGGACCTATACATCTAGGACCCACCCCATCGCCTCCAGGTGTAAGAGGTGTATGAGTTGGTGCTACAGGCATGGCAGTCATGAGCCAAATCAATGGGATGATCTGAGGTGTCTCTACCGATTTTGGAGAAGTAAAATGTTTCGACTGGCATAAACTGGAAACATCATTTGCACAACCACCATTTTCTCATAGCACATTGTATGCATGGGCAATGGAGCTCCCACTGTCATTGGACAATCAGTTGCACTGGTGTTGCCAGTAAGGCACATTGTGAAGGCTCACAAGTGGTCTGAGTGGAGTGTTTGGCATGGAGTCATCACAAACATGCCCATGAATGATGGGAGAGGCATTGGAAGGGGAGGAGGCCTGCTCTGAAGGTTGAATTGCGATTTCTCAGAATCTGTCGATTTTCTGCCATTCACCTTGGGATTGGAGTCATCTACATTCAGGGAGAAGTCGGTAGCTTGGGAGATGCTTCATGAATGACTGTTGTCAGTGGCTGCATAGCCGAAGGGATTACCTCTGTGGATTCTGGACATTGAAGGGATACTTGCTAGTGAGTCACCATGGGAATGGCCCAACAACGGAGCAGGGGGAAATGGAATTTGAGGAGGACCAGATATTTTGTCCTGGTGTCTGAACAGATCAGATACACCTGAATCAAGAATAGATCCAAGAGATGACATGCCCATTACAGGTTCTCCACAACTGGGGTCACCCTAATGGAGTCGAGAGTGACACAAGGAGGTGATGAGGGATAGGGCGGGAGAGGGTGAAGAATGGATGTGTCCAGTTTAGCACCAAAATGGCACTACAGCGATCATGAAATAGGAAAGGAGTGGTGAAAGGGAACGATTGGTGAGATCTGGCAAGTGAGCTTGCAGGAGAATGTGAGGGTCATCATGTTGCTCTACAGTCCATCCGTCCATCTGCAGAATATCCAAAACGGACACATACAGTAGCATTTACGATGGAGCGGCCAATTGGGGGGGGGGCAGTATCACATCGAAATCGAGCAAGCTTCATCATTAGAAGAGGTTGAGTCCATGAATATAGGCCAAAATGAGGTGTTTGTTGTTAGAAACGGGCGGATTCAGACGACTCCGGAGTGGAATTGGAGACTTAGCGTGGAAGGACCTCAGCCTCAGCGACTCAAGCGGAGCACTGTGCCATTGCTGTTTGTCCATTTGGTCCTTAATTTCACAGTAGGTGAGCAGGAAGTCTCTAGGGGGCATTTC